CATGGTTTAATCCAAAATGTTTTGTCTAGAAAACTACTTATTAATAGTAGTATTAATCGTATCAAGCTACTAAACATATCCTCAACCGAAAACTTTTAGAAGTAGTTCATACGGTATATATGTATAGCCAGTCTACGTGAAAAATGTATATAAATATATAAGAAGTACAGCCAACATAGTTAATTAACCAGAAAAAGAAATTATAAAACTCGCCTGGGTTGCTTTTTGAATTCGTTGTATTTGCCAGTGTTAGTTGTATGAGTTTGATTAAAATCCTCAGCCATCGTTTCGGAATACCTAGCTTATGTGTCCAGTATTTTAAAAAAAATATTTAACATAACACGTATATATCAAAGGTAAAAGGTCTGGGCTCACCAATTTCGTGCCTTGAAGTGACCCTCGTGCTATTGATAGAAGAAACCAGACAAGTAGTGAATAGGTCTTTATTTCGATCTTAGCGCGGTGACAGTGGAGCATGGGATTATCTGTTCAGACAAACAAAGGCTCTCAACATTCAATATAAGATAATGGGGAATATAACGCTTACACAAAATAAGGAAGTGAATGAATACTTGAACAATACTGTTTTGACATATGCTTGGTTGTTTGGGGTCAACTCTTAACCAACCAACCTAAGCTGTTACATATCTACCAACCCTTCAGGAAAGATCCAAGTGGTTGAAATCTATAACCAGGAGACTTATTGTTAGTAAACAATACTGACTCACAGAGAACTCTGGTCGAAAGCAATAGTTGGACAGGTCATTTATGGTCCAGATGAACGAGTGAGAACAGTTCGATTGAAGACAGCAACCGAAGAGATCAGCCGGGATATACGGAACCTGTGTCTAGTGGAAGAGGCTGATTATTTGAGTGCGACGGTAACGAAGCCTGGACGTGGTGTCCGATTGAGGGATTGTAGTTATGTCCATAACTAACCAATCAAGTCGTTGTTTAAGCGCCCATCATGTTGATCTAATTTGATTTGTCTGTAAACTATCTTTGTTCCATGTGACCTACCAATTTAAAGACAATGTTATCCTATTATATTAATGTGACTCATAATTGTATTCATTTCGATAAGACATACAATACTGGTCGGTACGTTTGTGCGTTTCACTTAGTGACCGCAATTCCCTTAATTATTGTACGAATCTAGTTGTTTTCACGTTTAAAAACAGATAAAAATTAGAGTCAAGTTGTCCTTGTTTTGAATATAGCTTCCACATAGACTCTGTGCTCGCCACTATCGCATTTAGGGTTCTAGTAGTATATCTGTAAAACAAAAAATAAATCCTACACTTATAATACCTCATCCGACAGCCAACACGCACGATGATACTTCGGCAGTATCAGAAAGTAAGATTAAAACAACGCGTTCTGGAAGAAGATTAAGATTTCCAGAACATTTAAACGATTTTATGCACGTTAGACTCCAGTTATTAGTTTGCTACATTTCGATTTTCCTTTGTATTACATATAATAAAAAATTTGGTATGTTTATATCTATGCATTTATTAAAAAAATAAACGAAATCTTGTTTGCTAATATGTGCATATTCAATTTTTTTCACAATAAACCCGAAAAAATATTTAAAAATCGCTTTCACACTATCGCATGTGTATGAGTTTGTTTTTCTTTTTTCGCCCGCTTTGTGCCTTTTCGGGCGTACAAGTGTAAGTCGACATGCACTTACCTATTCTTTTTTTCTTTTCCAGGACGGCTGGAAAAGACGATAAAAAGGACGATGAAGTTTACGAGGAACCGAAATTTTCATCGTACTTTGTTTTTTTATTGTTACATTGAACTGTATGGTCCATTATAGTGAGGAAAAACGACCGGACACTGCTAAGCATAGCAAGCTATCAGAAGTGTTTACCAACGACAAACTCGTTGGATTTAAACTTCTGGCCGGCCACGTCTTAGGATCATTACTACCCATTGGGGGGGGAGTGATCTGTAGTGGCAAATAAATCCCGAAAATAAATGGCTCTGTAAGTCTTCGACATTGGATACTGACCACATTAGTTCTAATGGACTCACCTAGCTGAAGGCGCTTCGGTCATGCATCCGTACTAGATCACGGGTGGGAACGTCGTGCTCAACATCCCCTGCAATCGCTAGCCAGATTAGATCAGACGATCCTCGATAAATTTGGTAACCTATCAAATATATCACCGAACCTCCTCACTTTTGCCTTTTGATTTCAGTTGGTGGGCAGGATTCATATTAGATGTTACTGGTTAAAGCGTTGTCAAACTCCAAACACCTGTGGCACTTTCAATGTAAATAGGTAAATCCTTCGTCGGAATGTTTATATCTGTGTCCCTAGCTTTTCTAGTATCACCAGGCCAAGTCTACACAGCAGCATGGACATCAGAGAAAAGTGGCCGTGAGCTTCTGAAAGCTCCTGAGGCCCTAAAAGCACGTTAGTGGAGGGAGTGATCATCCAATCAAAAGTGTGACACATGACATGCCATTTTCTAGATGATTTTGGGAAGCTTCTATTTGGCGCTGTTTGAGTTAAACGTCTTTAGAGATTTTAGATTCACCCTAGGCTAATTTCGAGAAATATTCTGGGTCTCATCAGCATAAACAATCATATTGCAGATAATTTATAATACAAACTCACCGTGAATTTCCACTATTTGTGTTTTCTGTTTGGCTATATTAGGTAGATAGTGCTCGAGTAAGAAGAGAATTCAAGTGTACAATTTGTGATGGAATATTGTGTATAAACTGATTAGGCAGAAAGATTAATTTATAATCAATTGCTGATCAAGTCTTTCTCATGCAAGCTACAGACATATGTATTTGCTCTGCCTTGTAGTTATACTTACGAGTGTTTGATATTTAAACAGACATATTACACAGGAGCACTTACATGTTGCTTATGCTTGCTAAAGAACCATGATATCCAGATATAATCGTAGTTGAATGGTCCTCTTTATCAGTTGGCCAAGTTAGTTGAATTCGAATACCCATTAAGATTGAGATAGAACAACGAATTTAAGCGGTAACTGACAAACATAAGCAACGATATAGGTGAAAAGTATAAGCATAGAATCCAATCATAAAGTTTATAATAACAGGTCGCGTCATTCGAACTGTTGCTTACCATTGTGGGTCATCAACGTAAATGATTTGTGTCAAGTGAGTGGAGCCCTTCTCGAGTTTAGAAGGGAACAGCTGACCTCGAGGTCACACTCGAGATTAGTACCTTACGTGCATTACCCCTTCTACGTATCCAGGTAAAATGGCTGCTTTGATGATTGTACAACACAAATGACGTTATTACAGAGATGTATGAGTAAGAATAGGTACAAGGAACAGAGTGCGATCACTGCTGTGTGGGCCAGTCCATGACGTGCCATTAATTGATGCGCGTTGGTTCTCCTTGACCTTGACGACGATCAGTGAACTGTTTGAAATTAATAACTCGACTACCAGATGATTTGGCTAGGGACTAGTGACATTTCACTGGCCCTATTAAATAATTTAAAATATAATATCTGCGGATAGTAAAGAGATCAATGAGTCTTTAAGGGATAATATTTCGACATCACAAGTTTTTCAGGCTAACATTTAACTGATCACGTTAATCTACTACAATTTCTAGTCCATCTTAACCGGTTCACCGTACTACATCTAAAACAAACACAACTCAAACATCACTTAACACGAAGAGTATAGTCTTGCTTGCTATGACTGGTTTAGATGAACTTTCTGTTATGGCTTGGATTGTATTGTCTAGTATTCATTTCTGTGACTTGATAGAATGCTACATGCTACCTCTAAACGTGTATCACAGATCCTCATTCTGTTTTAACACCCTGGTCATAAACTGAACCTATATCCCCTAACACTCATTTACTGAGCATCAACTATTGTGCTCACTCCAGGACGTTTCTGTAGTTTTTTAGAGGGTTCATCAATGGTGCTAAATATCCCACAAGTATATGGAATTTGAAAACACCTTAACCAGAGATATATTTTACAATCAAAACGTGCCAACCTAGTGAAGTCAGAAGTGAGAAACGAAGAGCTTGAAGATATATTTGATAGAATATCGATAAATCGTGAAGTGACTAATCTAAGGTGGCTAGCGGTTGTAAGAGAAGTGAGGGACGCTGTACTCACTCGTGATCATATGCGGATACATGACTGGGCGCCTTCAGTTATGTTACTTTATTGAAACTGATGAGGTCGGTATCAAATATCGAAGACCTACAGAACTAGCAATTTTGAGGATTTATTTATCGCTATGGTGCTAAGTTTGTTAGATGTAATAGTCACTACCAGATAAAGCCTGTAGATTATAATCAACAAAAGATGCTTCTCACATAATTTATTTAATAACAGTAAACATCGTTTCGAAACCGAAGATACTGAAGTTTTCCTTCACTGACTCCTTGAAAATGAGTGTTGTAGAGAGCTTCTTCAGTTGCCTGTTGGAATTTACGATCCAAAGTTTCTGCAATTTAAGGTAGTTATTGAGGAAAACTCCTATCAGACACCATCCGGACCACATCATGAAAAAGCTGACATTTAAATGGGGAGGTATGGTTAGTTCAGCTGAAGGAATCGGTGTGCGGAAAGAATAAATATATTCCCTTCTGGTATTCACGATGCGAACCATTGACTCGTAAAACAATCTACTATTACGTAACAAAGCAGCCTTAAACCATTCAGTAATGAAGAGAACATTCAAAGAATATAACCAAACACGTCGAAATTATTTGGTTGTAACTTGAGGGATTGCGGTTGGACATTGTACCGCAGTCGATTCAACTGGTGCGCTCCATTTAGAGGTATGCAAAGGCTATTTTCACGGTGTTTGCGATGTTTATTTTTGAATGTAGGTGATTAAGATCACTCAATTTCATTTGAACTAGCTTCTTCCTTTTGTACCTTGTAGTTTTTACATTCGATCAAACGATTTCCCACCTGTGTAAAGTAAATTTCTAACATCAGCTATCATCCTCAAGGTTCTTCAAAAGATGGTAGCGTTATTGAGGTATGTTATTTGCTGTTCTGTAAATTTAATACGAAATTAAGGTATGCATTTGTTTCGAATCCTCATCTGCGTTTGATCCCTCAACGTGGTTTCCACCAAAACTGGAACATGTACATTTCATCGAGGTTTCCAGCAAATACACATACTTTGAGAAATATTTCACTTAGTGGGTTACATCCAGTAATCTCAGTCCACCGTCTTGGCACAAACAGTTCTCTGTTTGCACTCGTTCATGAAAGCAAGCATATAGGGAACCACAGTGATTTTCCAATATGGTGTATTAGTCCAGTAAAGATTGAGACTCCAGCTCCTAGACCAAATAAGACTCCTCCAACAAATTCCAGTGTTGAACCATCTTCTAAGGAACCTAAAAAGGAAGAAGTGAGTTGACCTGTTAATCAGACTTTTTCAGGATGAAAAACAAGTGAAACCACCTATGTGGATCCGCATTAAGGATGGAATTGTCCATTATTATCATGGGTTTAGACTTCTTGGTTTGGAGATTAGAATCGCCTCTGGAATTTGTTTCAGAGTCCTTGGGGGCCACACACTAACGAGGAGGGAACGGAAACAAGTAATGTCTGACATAATGTACTTATTTTGATTACAGCTTGTTCGCACTCTAGCAGATATCCTACGCCTTCTACCGTTCTCAGTATTCATCATTGTTCCGTTTATGGAATTTCTGATTCCATTTTATGTCAGATTTTTCCCTTTTATGCTTCCGAGTACTTTTAAGGACAAATCAACGGAGGTATTAGTAATACAATACTTAATAACTCTTTAGGCTAATGCCATTCAACAGAGGCTTAAAGCTAAGCTTGAGTTGACTCATTTTCTTCAGGAGACTTTGATGCAAACTGCTGGAGCCTTAAAGAGCAGTTCAGATGCACCCACTGTTGCTGAATTCCAAGAGTTTATTAAAAAGGTATAGTTTGTTAGGTAACAGTATTATACATATAATAATATCCTATTTTTGACATTAACGTTGAACAGTTTTAACAGATACAAGGACTTCACAACAACGTTGAGTTTTCACTGTAATCAGAGAAGAAAATCAGTGGATTTTGTTTGAACCCGCCCTTATATCTTGGCTTCTAAGTCACCATTTAGAGTTAGTCATAATTAGTAGTGGAAATTGCATTCATAGTCACCAGTATCTTAATTTTTTACTTGTGAACAAGGTGATCTCCAGTCCTGTTATAGGTTTGAGATTGTTTGTTACTTCTTAGTCATCCACGCTTTGGAGTGATCCTTTTAAAAAATATAATGAGGTAGTTGGGTGAGTTGTGGCCTTGATTGTCTAACGGCTAAGCTATTTCTAGAGCCGGCTTTTTATAGATACTTCTTTCCGTTGTAGGGAGAGTATATTGCTACAGATACTGGTTGTCTGAGAAGAACGCTTTACTGCTGTTATTGCGGCTTTGCCCTCTGCCCGTAATTTTGTCTCTTATAGTTCTGTCACACCAAATGACCTGACTAGCTTTGTAAAACATTGAGAGATAAGTGTCCAATGAGACTATAATTTATGGACGACTTTTGAGCGACTCTAAAGTGACCTTAGAATTGTCCACCCAATAACTAGAACTAGATAAGGGTTATAAACCAGTATGAGGAATTAGAATTATGATTTACAGTTGTTGGTAGGGTTAGGAATTAGATTTAAGGTTTTCATCACTAAGTGATATCAGCTATCATGCCAAAACTCTAGTTAGCCAAATGGATGGGTGAATTTCGCACCAAAATCCGAGACCTGTTATCTTATACCTGATTAGTTCGTCTATAAATTGTAGTCTCGCCAAGCGCTCCAGCATATATGGCTCGATTCAATCGTCACATTATACAAATCTTGGTCATTACTTCAGAGTGGCAGCTACGGCTGGATGCCGAAAGTTAGTCGATCAGCAACTCACTGGAGCTGACATGATTCTAAACAAGCAAACTGGCTCACTTCGCTAACTGAATTCCTCACCGATAAACTTGGTGTTGATACAGAATAGTTTAGCAGAAAAGACCTTACAGAGAACTGATATGCTTATTTGTAGTTAACTTGACTTTGCCTTTGGCATTAAATTTTCGTACTCAACTTGAGATAATCCTCATATTGTTTTTTGTATGTAGTGAGTCTGACAATGATACTATAATATAACAAAAGTTATTCATTGTCCTGTATCAGTCACTAGCCACAATATGGACTGCTTGTGACCACGGTTTGGTCCTTATCTGGAGATGCTAGGTCAAACACGTCTTCTATTTAGCTAGTATTTGAACCAGGCATTCATCGTAGAATTACGAATTTAAACAATTTGGGTATTCCCTTATAGGAATTAGTCTTAATTAATCCTCCACTTCATTTACTTAATTTCTCTAACCACTTCCCGTTTAGTTATCTCCAGGTTATGCTTTACTCTGCAGGTAAACTTTGATTATATAGTGAAACACATAAGTACCAATATAGTGAAAAGTACCAGAAAGGTCACCAAACCTGTGAAGAGAGCTGTAGAAATTTTCACCATAAACAACATCGTGCTATAGATTGTTCGAATATATCGAAATTTCTTTTCAAATTTATTTTACCGAAATTTTTATAGAGAACAGTTTTTTATGACAGCTTAGTGTACATACTAAAGTTTTCGCAAATAATATCTACCTTCTTGTTAACTTTATTATAGGTACAGAAATCTGGTGAACAGGCTCAAGCTAAAGATATTACTAGGTTTTCAAAGCTCTTTGAGGATCAAGTGACATTGGATTCTCTGGATAATAAACAGCTTAGAATGCTATGTCGACTTCTTTCTCTTCCAACCATTGGTCCCAGTCATTTACTAAGATTCCAAATTTGGATACGTGTTAGACAGTTAAAAGCAGAAGATAAAGTAATGGGGATTTTTCGATGATACATTTTTAGTGCTACAATGAGTTGTTTGACATGAAATCCACTCATTTGTACGGTGATATTTGTCTACTTTGTAGTTCTGTTCCAATACTGAGGTTATTCTTTTTGGGTTTATGATCACAAATTTAAACATTTAACTGATTGATGACTGTATTGGTATTAAGGTATCAATTAAGAATGGAAAGGTACATTTACCGAATGGATTCATGTTGTGTTGAGGATAAATATCTGAATCAGTGGAGCTTTAAACCAATAATGAATATATTCAATATTCAACGACTAGACAGCAAACTCTAGTTGTACACCATCTAATTAAGCTTACGAAATCGAGTATTATTGCTACTTACACAACGAGTCACTCGAATGTAGTAAAGTAGAAATGGTAGCAGTGATTGATTGTATGTATATTTGTAAGATCTAATCTGTTCTCTCATCTAACCTATCATCACTTGACTGCATGATTAATAATTGTATTGAGTTCAGTTAATTCACCCACCTGACACTCGAAAATGAGCCACTCGCTAAATGTGAGGGTTAATAATACTCAGTTGCCCAAACCAAAGTGAGCAGGATGGAGATCAGACTTGGGACATGGTGGCCGAAAGTCCAGTACCTTGACCACCAAGCTAATGCTCCACTGCATAATTATTTACTTACAGCCATCACAAGTCTAACCAACCCTATCAGAATTTTATATCAGGTAATAACATGTTAGTATTGTAGCATTCGTCAGGGGTCGGATGCTACTATCCTAACCAATTCTTACATTATGTAGTGTAAATTCACCCCAATTTTTCATGAGTTTTCACTATATCTACTAGCTTAAAACCTAGACCATTGATTTGTATAGATTTTTAGCTTAGTTGACGACTTCATGCCAGCAAGGCTATCCATTCTTTGTCCCATTACACTTTATTTTAATCAAATTTTTATCTTTTATCCGTCAATTTATGTGATCGTTTTATTACCCTGTATCCTATTGTAGCTGATAGCGAATGAAGGTGTTGATCAGATACCACCTTGGGAATTGCAAAGTTTATGTCAGGAACGTGGAATGCGTTCAGTTGGTTTACCAAAAGAAAAATTGCAATCACAACTTAGTGAATGGCTTGATTTACATCTAGAAAAGAATGTACCCATCACTCTCTTATTATTCTCTCGGGCACTGCATGTGACTCAGGCGCTAGTAGATCAAAATCCCCTGCAACAAGTACGTGTTCTGTTTTGAATTCATTTTGACCTTTCATATACTTGGGTCGTTTTGTCATTCAAAAAACTTACGCCTGCTACCCCTCATAAAGGAGCATAGACCGCCCACCAACATTATCCGTCGAACTGTGTCCTGAGTAATTCTTTCCAGTTGTTTACAGTTGCTATTCATTCTTTTGATGTCTGCTTCCAATTCCCGACGCAGTGTGTTCTCTGGCCTTCCTCTTTTCCGTTTCCCTCCAGGAATCCAAGTTAGCGCTTGCTTCGTGATGCATTTTGATGATTTCCTCGATGTGTATCCTATCCACTTCCAGCATGTTTTCCTAATTTCCTCTTCAGATGGAAGTTGATTTGTTCTCTCCCACAGTAGGCTGTTGCTGATGGTGTCTTATGTAGACAACTGTTTATAAATAACCGTACGTTTTTAATGATGGTTGTAGTATTTCTCCACGTTCCAGCTCCGTACAATAGAACTGGTCCATCAAGTGTGGTTTGGTTGTCGCTCTCTATGTTATATTTCAGGATCTTGCTTTTTCTCTTGTGTATGTGGAGGACTACTTCTGTAGAGGCTGCTGCCACACCGGCTGTCTTGACCTGCATCTGTTGGTGTGTATGAGATAGAAGAGCTAGGTCATCTTGCTACAGTTTCATCTTGAAAACCACCGGGTGATGATCTGAAGCTTTATTAACTCTCCTGGTTCTCACGTCTTCCATTGACCTTGTGGGTTTTTTAATGACGCAAATATGATCGATCTGGTTGTCTGTAGTGTGATCCGGTGATACCCATATAGCTTTGTGTATGTGTTTGTGGGAGAATATTCTGCCACCCATAACCACTTTGTTGAATGCATATAAATTTGAAAACCTTTATTTTCATTTCTTTCTCCCAGTTCATTTCGTCTCATTGTATATTCATACCCAGGGTTGTCCATTCAGACTTTGGCGTTGAGGTCTCACATCAGGATAGTCAAGTCGTTTCTGGGGCATTTATCTACGATCGATTGGAGTCTCTTGTAAAACTGGTCTTTGTCGTCTTCGTTGCTATCATTGGTTGGTGCATAACATTAGATAACATTCACTGGGCCCCCAAATGCCCTGGTATGGCCGAGAGTGGGGACTGTCCACTCTCCTTCTCGAAATGCTCTCACATGGCCACGCGTATATAGCCTCTGCCAGGGAAGTCCTACTCATTGCCTTCTCGCGGCGGGGGTGTTGTTTACGAGATTGAGAGGACGAAAAGCGAATGTCCGGCGCTTTAACCGGGTTGGTGGACATGGAGAGTCCACCTAGGGAGTGGAAGATCCTGATTCCAAACCACTGGTGCACATGTGCTCCAGTATCCTTCGGGAACAAATGGCGTATGAACCAATCGTTAGTCACCGGCTACCATGGGACTGCATCTCCTTACGATGCTCCACTGCCTTGTGGATCAGACCTTCAGGTCGAAGGCTCCGGGTGTGGCCCCCTAAGAAAACCACCTGCTTCGGTTTGGGCACCCGACCAGTATCACAGCCCTCACACATCAAATGAGATTTGTGTGGTGCATATGTATTTGGTGCCTCCTTGTACCAGTATCTATGTGTTAAAATAGATAAATAAAATAAACATTCATTGTGACCCCTCTTTTGTTTCAAATGATGTTTTGATGATCCTGGGTCCATGGGATTCCCATCCCATAAGTGTTTTCGTGCTTCTGTGTACAGCGTCACTGCAACTCTTTGTGTGTGCGGAGCATTTTCTCGTTTCCGGAGCTATTTGATTGGTCCTCCCGGTCTCCCACATTGTCTGGACATTCCATGTACCTATGTTAATTGTTCTTCTGATTATTAGAAGAGGCATCGGCCTCGTGACTTCTGAAGAGTCTCGGCGTTCACCATTAGGTGTCGTAGCTCTTTTAAATGAAGCTATTTCAACTAAAAGGGCAGATTTTAAATGGTTTGAATTGTTTATTCTGGATAGCTTTTTTTAGCAAGGTTGTTTTCTGCAGGATGAGGTTCCTGTTCCCATACTCAACCCTCCTCCCTTGGAACCAGCAGTAACCCTAAAAGAGCTACAGGAAGAGTTATTTAAATACCCGGTTGAAATTATTTCATTAGAAATCGGACCAGAGTTGTAGGAAGCACTAGTTATTTCATGATATTTTGTATAAAATGTTTCTACTCGCTTTAGTTCCCATTTCTACATAAATTGTTTTATAGCTGAATAATTCAGCTTAAATAAATAACTATTTCTAACCACAGAGTCACATGTAGGAATTCAAATATGTAACCCAATAAACCACATATTTTAATAATCCAACCATACTTTAACATTATATTGAATATGATTTCAAAGGGTCACAACCAACCAATTGCTTTATGACTATTTGGTCGAAAAATGTCCGTTAGATCCTTAGTGTACCTTCATTTGAACTTCAACAGCGTTTCTAGATTGAACTAATCATTTTAGTGTAGTTTGATTCACTAAACATCGAGTAATTTCCCCCATGTAGGATTTACTGTAAATAGAAAAAGTTTTTGGTGCCTCAGTAATAATGCACGATATTTTCAGTAGAACCAGCTGAGTATTTTATCTACCATATCGTAAGGCAGCTGTTTGCAATCGGCTACTAGCGAATCAAAACAGTTGACGATAATCATAGAGCTTTCGTAGGAAAACTCGTTGTAATTGATTTCTCATGAATATTTATGGTCCTACGTTGAGTTACATTCATAAGCGTGATAAAAACCTAGCTTAGCCATTAAATGTGAGCTGTTATTAGTGAACAATCATCAAGAATGATTGGCTCCATCTGGATCTATCTATTTTGTTATTAATAGCCCCTTTGAGAGATTCGACTTGTTTTTATGTATTTGAATATATGTTACTCAAATTCACCTACAAAGTTACCTTTAACTGACTGAATGTATGGTTGTTTGTACTATATAGCCAGAGTTGTAAAGACTTCCAAAGATTTTTCAACATAGTTTGTTTCATCCTTATTTTTCTGATACTGGCTTGATAACTTCATTACATTTAAGTTTCATTCAACTTTATTTTTAGGCTATTGCTCAATTACCTCCATCAGCTTCATCAGAGGCAGTGGCTCGTGTTTTAGAAACCACGCCTCATGATGAACTTGATCCTGTTACCAAAATCAAAGTGTTACGTGAAGAACAAGACAGTATTAAAGCTGAACGAGTACAGCGCAAACAAGAGTTAATTGAAAAGCAAAAATCTGAAAAAGGTAAAACTATTATGACTGGATTGCCAGAAGGCGATCAAGCTCCATTGTTAAAGGGTCTTAAAAATGAAGGTAAGATACAATATTCGTTTAAGACTTATTGGTTAGGGAAAACTTTTCTGATTTGAATGGAATTTATTCGGCAGATTTTAAAAGTCTTCACTTTCATTTTCCTTTACTTATACCTTACGTAAATCATTCCATTCATTCCCATAAGGCCATCTTTCTGTTATTTCTCATGTTCACATCTATGTCTCAGTTTGTATTCAATATAAATGGGGATAAATCCCTCTGGTCTAAACTTCGAGTGTCTGTTGGAAAAGTCTCAAAAGTATCCCTCGTCGGAATCCCTAGAGGTCCAGAAACGCCAGGAAACGTTTGATCAAATCCGCACTGAACAAGATCTCAGAATCGCATCCCGTGGTTTCGACTGGATATTCACACGTACTGCCCCTATATTTAGTACGGCTCCATAAATTTCTGGAAGCCTAAGATCGTGTGTAGCGATATAAGTACTCTCGTTTTTCTGTACATAAACGAACATTGGAGTAGAACTTTACTCGCTATTCGCGCCTTCTCTCTAGTGTTCCAGTTAACATGGTGAAGTATTTAGGGATATCGGAACCACGCAGGAAGAGAATTTAGGCGTGTCGGTAACAAGATTTATTAGGGTGGAACCCTGCTCCACCTACTTCCGCCTGGGGATCCGGGTGTGGCATCACTAGTTCTTACACGTATAGCATAGCTTGTAGCCAATTATGTCTGGCGAATGAAATAATAAATAGAAATAATTTCATATAATTTTTCCCATTTATAGATTTGAACGAAAAAAATTTGTAGCAGAATTTATTCATTTCATGGATTCTCCCCATATGTTTACAGTCTAATGATAATAATCAAATTTGTGTATCTCAAGCAGAGGTAGATAGTTGCTTGCAGTGAAATCTAGGACGTCCATTTCGTCCTTTTGAGTATTCGTCTGCTGGATGTGCCTGCATACGAGAGTTGATGTTCACTCTGGGACTCGAACCTAGTACCTTTCGCTTCAAATTAAAATCTACCCCATCGCACAATTCAGTGGCTATCTGAATCCTATAGCTAAGTGGATAACACAATAGCACTTGAAAACCAACTCTAGGATATAGGTGAATCCAGCTGACTAGTCCCCAAAAAGGACGAAACGGGCGTCCTAGATTCCACTGCTAGCCATAATCAATTTGTGCTCAAAATCCTTGTGACCTACTGACAATATTGAGACAATCCGCACAGGACACACATACACCGAAAGAAACTGGTCAATTACAGTCCTAAACGCCAATGGGAAGATCCAAACAACCATTATTTATGAATTAAAATTAAAAACAGTGTATGATCCCACTGTGGCGGAGGTTTTTGTATACAAAGCCTTTAAGATATTGATGGACTTTTCAGAGATGCCTTATACAGACACTCTTGGATCGGAGTCCTATTCTACGAATCTAATTTGGCGCTGATATCAAGGAGCAGTGTTGGCTTGCTGCTTGCTCCCAACGTGCTGGGATACTCTGACCACCAGGTTTCTCGGTCCTGATAAAAAGCTTACGAAATTTTCCGACGTCGGGATCTGTGTTTATCGAAAAACTTGGGGTTAATTGGTGTAGTTCTAAGAAGCCTATAGAAACCCTCTGCCAATAGGTGGGATGCTTCACAAAGCCGCATATAATTTTACATGGTATTTTTTTATTGCGTTATATAAATGCGGCCAGTGATCATCTATAATTTTCAGCGAGTAGATCGCTAGCCTTAGAAGTAGCTTGGTTTGATATTTGGTTATAATGAAGGCTACAACCAACGTACATCAATCCGTTTAGTACGGTGAATTTTTTGGCCACTGGAACATAAGATTTTCGCAAACCAAAGTATGATGATAGTCCTTATAAGTGCTCTGAAAGGAGCAGGATTGTTGTACACAGCCACGCCAGACGTAGCTGACTGTGATGTGGTAAATCTCAGTCCAGGCTTGGTATGCAGGGAGAGGGGACCAGGTAGATCATTGGCAATGACTGTGCCAAAAAACAGGTAATCTGCGCACAAAGCTAAAGAAGGCGATCACCTTCATTTTACCTGCGACTGATGAGTTCCGACCGATCACACAAATAACTCTCATTTATACTGTGACTCGACCTGTGGATCCATATTTCTGGTTAGCATTATAATATCTGTCGAACTCACTTTTTAGAGATCATTTAACTAACAATAAAACTCGTTCTTGATTGCACCCAAGTTGAAATCTATCGGGGGACTCGGCGGGGGAAAAGAAAAGACATCTTTCCCTACGACAGCTTCCACTTTGGAGCTTTCTAACCCAGTATCACATGGACGACTGCTGGTGGGGGATCCAATCGATTGATGATGTCTCTACTTTGGCTCTTAGTGAAACATTAGCGCCAGTTGAAATGAATGGTGTTACGGCATCGTCTGCTATCAAGTGTACTTGAAACAAGCTTTTTGAGTTGACAAATCGAAGGGTACTTGTAGTGCTTCACTAGCAACAGTCATACAGGTCTCAGAGATACTACAAACGTTGATGTCAAGACTTTCCAAAAACTCAACTAGACCTATTTGTTAACTGAACTTCATCAGTGTGCTAACTTTGGAGGAAGACATTTTGAATGGCGCACGTGGTTTCAAGAGAGCTGATTTAGATTTCCTACTCGATAGTAGCATTCGGAATTTCGGACAGTTAATGGTTTGAGTTCATTTAGAAAGGAAATAACTTCGTCATTGATGAGCTGACTATTCAGTTGAAAAATAAAAGTAAATGGAATAGAAAGGGAAATTGTACTTTAATTACTTCATTCTCAAGGTGAACTAAATAATAACAATCGCAACTGGAAAAGACGAAGCTGATAGCTTCATTAGCTAAAGTTAGCTACTTTTGCTAAATCCTTATGTTGACAGATGATTTTAATTTTACTGGTTTACAATCACTGATTGTGTATGTATTTAATGATACAACTCCTCGAAGGTTGACGTTTTAGAAACAGGTAATTATCTCCTGACTATAATGATAATTGGCTCCAGCCAAGCGAAAGGAGGTTAAAAATATGCGAAGTAATGAGGTGATATTTGACGGCTCGACTTTGCACCTGTACGTGTGACTAACTGAATTATCGAGTTCTTAAATGTGTTTATGGTAAAATCCAAGTCATTTTTTAGCATATTCATGTGTGGTCTGATTCGTTAATAGAACACAGGAGATCAACTGTGTTCAGGTTTTTTTTATGTGTTGTGTATTTATCATGTCCTGATCCCGGTACAAATGGTCAATTTCATATGGAAACTCTATTAGAGATAGAAATGCGAACACGAGAGAGAGAATAAAGAAGCTAGTGAATTGATAGGATTTAAAAGCACATATATATGAAAGTGAATGTGTCATCGAACGATTTAAGCAACTAATATTTAAACTAGTAAAAGAGATATGTATGTAAGCTATAATAAATGATTAAGTGTACATGACATATAGACATAATAATAATAATAATAATAATAATAATAATAATAATAATAATAATAATAATAATAATAGTGATACAAAGATATAGACAAACGGTTACTGTTCTAACGGCACTCTCTGTCAAATAAGTTAGTCCAAGGGCTTAACAAAATTAGCGTATACAGCTCAAGTTTAGATGAGGTACTCTCAATCGTTCATGCTGAAAAAAATATTCATCTGAGCTACAGTTTATAACAGGTTCAAGATAGCTGAAAAGTGTTTCATTATGATCAAATCTAGACGGATCACTAATCCGTAAAAATACGGATTGTTGGTCAAAGCCACGTTACGGGTCATTTTTTGCATGTAATTTGGAAATAAGCTATTCCGCTTTTAGATTTATTCATATATCACTGAAATCTTATTTTCTCTTGATGTAGAACTTGATAAAGTCACACCTGTCTTAACTGATTCAGCTACTTTTATGTCCGAAAGTACAGAGATACAATCTGAGGTAAATCAATACTTGTCATTATATTATTATTATTATTATTACTATTATTATTATTATTACTATTGTCTGGAACATAACGCTTAATGAAGTAAAATATTTTAATCCTAAAAACTTTAAGAATGTTTTAGGATGCTCACATACCCATCTGAACAATTAGCAAATGAATATCATTCTATCAAGCTATCTTAATAAACTTTTAAGCAATGTAATCAGAGTTCATAACAATAATATATTCTGAAGAAAAAAACACTGAATGTACACCAATTTTACTGCCATAACCTGGTTTATGCAGAAATATTTGAAGATTAGGTAATTTGACATAAGATCTCTCACAATGGCCCAAACTTTCTTAGGCTTTATTCTCCTCCATCATTAAAGATTGATACCCTACACCACCATATCAGCACAGTGAAATCTAACTATGACGACAAATCTGAGAGTATTAGAGGTAGTAACAGCATCACAGAGTTCTAACTCCATTTTTGAAATGTGAATCATATTTAACTTGGCACATATTTGGTTGAACACGTTTACAAAATTGCGATATTAATGGTTGAAATGTAAGTGTTTTGGGTACTTATGTTTTATACATTCGTATAGTAAGTCATGTGTTAAGGGCAAAGAGTTTAGGGGATTCGGAAACCAGCATACCAGCCAACTCAATAAATTAAGTGAAAATTGACTCGACACAAACTTAAGCACTCAGATATATTGGCAATGTAAGTTCCACAAGTTTTATGGGAAATATTACAATATATTTTAATGGGACTGAAAATGACATGTTAACTGATTAGGCTTGTACAAAAAATGGATTTCAAGGGAGTGTAATAAGAACTACTGTAACAGTATCAGGGGTAGTAGAAAAGATTAGGTATAGAAGATATACTTCGAGAACATATAAATTCGCGGATTACAAAGGTATAGGATGATTTTAAAACTTAGGATCTAAGGGAAGGTAAAGAATGAGTACATCTGCGTCAATACGACGGATTCTGAGCCATTTCAACCAGTCTATCATCATTGGTTACAGAATTCGCGCGCAGCCCAATCGGGTACTCTGGATTTATTTTCAGGATTCAGTCCAGTTATCAATAAATCCATGGTTTGATACTACGTCTTAGTTTTACGCTTCTAGCTCTCAGTTTACTCATACACTAGCCAGCATCACTCATTGAGGTGGGCTGTGGTTGAATGTGTGTAATCTATGTCCCAATCACTTCAATCAATAAAAATCCACTACCCCATCGAATAATTTCCCAACATTACTGAAACTTTGGATCTAACCTCAGCATTGTTCATTCGGTGGTCCAAACACACAAGCAATGCCTCAAAATAATCGAACACAAGGAAATTATCTATAATTTCTATGTTTCTTATATTGTTTGTGTGTTTCAAAATATATTCTAGTCTAAAATGTCAGTTAAGAATGGGAAACAATGCTTTTTAATTGAAAATTAACAAGCTTTTCTTAACTCTTTACTTCGTTAGTATAAGCTGATAAGTGTTAATCAACTCGTCAGAAGGGGTTATTTCGCTCCTTAGCTGTAAATTTGTGTTACTTCTTGAATTATCACTGTTTTCCTTCGAATTCAGTAATAAATTTCCTGAGGTTTATACCTCACTGTTTATAACGAATATATTATCGTATATAATTACAAACCGAGAAATCAAATGAAAGTAATTGGATTAGTGTAGATTTGTCGACTCTAAATTCCTAAATATCTTAATTGTCCAATGGTCCTTCATCGACTTAAAACATTATTTTCAAACATACATCATATAGTATAGCATTTTGAATGAAAACCAACCTAAACGTCCATTACTTTTATGTCATCTATTCATAAATTGTTATTGAAAGTGAGCTAAGTATATATATATAAGGTTTTGGTCCACAAGACGCCTCATCATAAGGAATGTATCGCTATCGATACTCTGTCACGGATTCAAGAAAGGCATAACACGAAGAGAGCACGTAACAACAGCCGAATAAGAGCAGAGAAAGTCAAAGCACACGCCAAATACACAGAAGCAAAAAAAGCAAGTGAAGCAGAGCTTAGATCTGACACGCAGAAATACGTGGAAGAGCTAGCAATGACAGTGGAAAAAGCTACGAGAGAAAGAAATATGAAACAACTATATGACACGATGAACGAACTATCAGAGAAATATAGTAAACCAGAGAGACCGGTCAAGGACAAAGAAGACAATTCAATCACTGAAATTCAAAAACAGAGGAACAAGGTGGTTAGAACACTTTAAAGAACTCTTGAATACACCATCCACACTAAACCCTCCGGGCATCGAAGCGGCACGCACAAACCTTCCTATATATCCCACTCCACTCGCGACCGAAGAAATCAGGATGCCCATCAGACAGATCACAAGTTGGAATGCAGCAGGACCTGACAATATACCGGCCGAAGCATTGAAGTCGCACATAGAAGCAACTGCAAACATGCCCCACTTTCTTTTAAGGAAGAGTTGGGAGGAGAAACAAGTGCTATTGACAGACTAGAAAGAAGGATACTTCATCCAGATACGAAAGAAATAAGATCTGATCAAGTGTGAGAACTGCAGAGGCATCACACTACTATCAATACCAGGAAACGTTTTCATTAGTATTACTGAACAAGATGAATGATTCAGTAGACACCAAACTTCGAGATCAACAGACTGATTGCGTAAGGATCGGTCGTGCATAGACCAAATCACGACACTACGGATCATTGTTAAGCAATCAAATTAATGGATTTTGTTACTATACATCAACCCCCTTGATAATGAGGAAGTATTTGACAGTGTGGATAGGTGAACCTTGTTCGACGCTATGAAGTACCTGGTAAGATCGTCAACATCATACGACCGACTACACTGCAAAGTGGTGCATTAAGGACAGCTGACAGACTCATTAAGTAAGGACCGGAGTCAGACAAGGTTGCTTACTCTCTCCCTTTCTCTTTCTTCTGATGGATGACTGGATTATGAAGACTTCTACATCTGAGGCAAAGCACCGAATACAGTCGACAGCTTGCACGCAACTAGACGGTTTGGACTTTGCAGATGACCTAGCTCTTCTATCTCATACACACCAACAGATGCAGGCCAAGACAGCCGGTGTAGCAGCAGTCTCTACAGAAGTAGTCCTCCACATATATTTTTTTCTTGGAAAAATTGCATACTATTCACTGTTTACTATGTAAGAAATAGATAGCACTTAAAACGTGGAATACTTTTAATGTCTTTTACATTAATCATTAATATTCTTTTATTGTTATTTTCATTTGCAAATAGATTCGTAAACCTGTTCAAAATATACAACCTATCGATACACTACAAACATCAGTTAATGGAAAATCAAAAAATGATTCGCACATAGATAGTTTGTCTGTGAAATCTGAAGAACCAAAAACATCGGATACTGAAGAGGTAACTGAGATATCTGCAGGTGATTTAGCTGAAATTCATTCGGCTATTGCTGAGTCCACACTTCATTTAGATAGTGAAACAATCGATGAATTGAAGGTAAAATTCATATTGGTTTTTTTAAAAGCTTGTCTATGGTAAAGATAATTTCATTCAAGGGTTTAATTAGATGTGAATGCACTAAAACATCTTATTATTACTGTTTTGTTAATAAATTTCTTTAGTAATTCCTTTAACGGATCTCAGGGTGTCTTGGTGATGTTTGCGTATTATTCTGGGCACTTAATAAACAGTATAGGTGAGACTGTATTTTATGTAGTACCTTTGAGCGATGCTAAAGTGAGAAAACCCAAGTCTTTACTAGGCTCAAAAGTGGGTTATAGATGGGTGTGGGGAATTAAGATTAGAATCGATTGTGGATGGGGATAAACTTCACGTTTTCGAGTCATCTAACTGTATCGTAGTCAGTAATTGCGGATGTGTTCTCGTTTATTTAGTCACTCAATCGCAGATATTTTGGAATAATTTCTATCATAGAACTAATTAGGGTATATCTTATGCTGTGTTGTAATTTTCCTTCCATCTTGACTGACTGGCTTACATTTGACATGTCCATAGCATGAATGGATGGTATTTTTGTCGTATAATACTTTACATTTTTCATGTAAGCCAGCAAAAATGACAGACAATGAGACAGGCCCTCCATCACGGATTACGGCAGTGTAGATGATTCCTTCTTTATTTTGACTGGTCACCAAGTTCGAGGTCAAAATTGCGAACGAGAGTGGAGTTTATCCTCATCCCTAGTTGACTTTATGAGTGATTGCATTTCACGCCAAAATTCAAGACCTACCTTAAATTTCATTGTTTCGTGCATAAACTATGGTCTCGCCTACACACAGACACAAGTGTGAACTATCAAATAATTAGATTACTAGTTATGTAAGGGATAAATATGCATCTCTTATCTATCAACATTCATACACAGTGACATCATAAGTATATATTAGTGATTTGTTTATTGTTTTCGGATGTATTTACTGGGTTTATACTTGATATGTTTTTATTTAATAGGAGCAAGTTGCAAAATTACAACAAAAACGTCAGGCTGAATTGGTGGCTTCTGAAGAAGTGACAGAAAAACGAAAATCAAAAGCTGCATTACATCTAGAATCTCGTTTAGAGCGTTTAATTAAAGAAATGGATACTATGTTAGATAGACTAAACGATAAACGTACCCAACTGTTAAAAGATATTGAAGTAAGAGTGTATACTTTCTTGACTATTTCTTACTTCATATGTACAGTTTTTTGTATGATTTTCTTATCGCATTGATTGATTTATGTAGGTTATTCTTAGTTTATGTGCTCTTGTAATCTAAGAATTTTTGCCGTCTACTGGAGTTGTGTTTGATGTTGAATTTAACTCGGTTAATAGGATCATTGTTAGCGATTTACTGACTGTTTAAGTTTTTATGACCTAACTAACTAATAGGGTCATACTTTTGTAAAAATTTGTAACTGCATAAAAATGAACTTAATTAGATTAATCACCCATGGAGTCACTGTCGATTAAATTGTTTAGACCTTTGATATTGTCTAAGATATTCTACTAATTTGTTATTTTAAAAGATTTTTAGTGCGAATATTGAATTGTAGTAGTTGTTATTCTGTTATGTCTTGTTGTTGAAACACCAGATATCCTACCAATTACTTGACCTGTAACTATGCTGTGTATTGTGATGGTTTCACTACCATTGAAAAGCTTTCATTCTTTAAACAACAATATTAACTTATCCCATTTGTGTTGATCTGAGTTACTGATTAGTACCATTAGTCTTTATACCAGATATTGTGCTCACACCATACTACACAAATGTTAATATGTTATTTCATTTATCAATTTTACTTATCGTTCAAGTTGATATAATCATATTATCTCATATCGTTTGTTAATTTAATAGGTTTTTGAAAGCCATATAAATGAATCAACTGAATCAAAGGAGCGGTCTAAGATAATGGATCAAATCAAAGCAGATCATGATCGTATGGTAGACATAAACGATTTGTTGATTTCTTTGAAACGTATTCGAAACATTCCTGATGATACACGTTGGGAAAAGATCTTGAAGGTTTTAGATGAGGATCATGATGGAAAAATCGAGTTGAATCATATATTGTCTGTAAGTTTAGTAAATAATAATTCAAATCCTATCTCTTTTACACATTTCCCATTAACTTATTCATGAATATCTGAAAGACTAACAGAAACGAAGATAATAAGTCTTTTAAAACAAAGCAACATCCACGTAGCATGTGGAATAAAAGTGACGGGTTACATGAGGATGTTATACATTTGCATGTAAGAGTGGATCAATATGCCGGAATACGACAATAAATCAACAACGCATGGTTCTTTGGAACTGTAATTTTAATCTACTACTTATTATTAAGTAGTATGACTTTTAACACTAAGCAAACTAGGCGGTAAAAAAGTAGGAGTTTAGTACGTGTTGCACAAGATGTGATCATGTGGTTGATTCTTTTTCATTCTCACAGGAGAAAATAAGTCTTCAACAGATTGATCCTAATTTCACGTACTATAATTTTAAAAATGAATTGAGAAAGTCCGTACATACATATTTGTAGTTTCACAAGGCATCTGTAGACAAGCAAGAGTAACTTAACAATTGTACAATCCTGATTATCTAGACAACTGAATGCATTAGCTTATCGTGTTTGTTCAAGTTTCTCTACATGAATGAGAAAAAAGCTTTTATTGGCTAGCTAGATCGAGAATGTATATAAACCCATCCATGTGTATGCATGCCTATCCTCAAAAATGTAAGTCATTTCTTAGTCAACCGTGTTCACCAATCATTTGGCTGGTTTATGATTAGCCCGTTGTATTGCTTTAATTTCACTGTGTTATCTCCACACTTTAAATTCGTGAACTTTTAAAATATTTTTATATTCTATTTTTTCTTAGGTTATCGAGCTTCTCGGTTCAGAGAATGTGAAACTATCCGGCAAAGAAATTGCACGCGTTCTTGAAATGATTGATAATGAACATTTGGCAAAAGCGATCCCTACAGAAGAGTTGAAAGTTGATAAAAACCGTTTAAAATCGTCCGTCGATGATTCTTCTCAGGTCACTTCAAAGTAAAGGAGTGTTGTTTTGATTTTTGTAGGTGATAAATTGCATAGATTGAAAATTATTGTAGTGTCATTAAACCCACGGAGTGAATTTTGAACATGTTGGGGTTTATTTTCCTAACGTATTTCCTCCTATTTTTATTGTAGTCATTAAATATTGCTGACGCATATATATATTTGTCGTTGGTATCATTCGTGATATGTTCTGTTCATTGATATTATCAACTAAAACTTACCTCTTTTGTTCAAATAACTTTTGTTGGTTTATAACAAACTAATCTTGTAATAAGAGTAATAATAATAAATACATCAAATGTACATGAGTTTTATTTATTTAGTACAAAACATGACCACTTTTTTCCATTTTAAGGTTTTGTAAATCGTCTGTTCAGTTCCGTCATAGAGGAGAATTTGATGACGTGATGGATATATTTTCGGTTTTAAGATCGATTAGATGGAATTCCAATCAAAAAAAAGTATGATATGATACAGTGTTGCTCAGTGATGGCTGACCACGAAACTGGCTTGTTGACATAAACCTCCAAATTATTTGAGACCAAAGATAGGACTACTCTAGCTACTTGATAACTGACAGCCTTTGAGAAGGAGATGCGGAAGTAGGATATATCTATCACACTGTGTCGAGTAATAGGTCCGTCACGTGACAGTCTTAAGCCCGGGTAAATGAGGGTGGTCGGACATAGGATCAGCAAACCCATACCGTAGAAAAGAATCAAAGCAAAAACCAATTGCTCCATTTTAGCTCAGCCCTGCGAGTTGTAGGGTTTTCATACGGAAGAATCATGACGCCCCATAGTAAAAACCGAGTCCTCGAAGGTCGTTAAACTAGTGTCCCTTACGACAATCAAAACAACATTTAATGCAGGTACATAGAGAAGCCTGAAGAGTCATTTAAAGATCTGCGGAAATGCGAAAATACAACCTGGTGGTACTTGACTTGGAATCTGCAAGTCACAAGGAAGAGAGGCGGATCAAATAACACATGGCGCTGAGAATTGAAGGTAGGCGTCAAGACTATGATTGGCACCTGTCATTCGGGAGAAGAGCCTATGACAAAGTTGGTTAGAGTTCCCTATGCCCCACGAAAGGTAACAGGCTTAACTAAGTAAGTAGTTAACGAGTTACGCAAATTACTTAGTGAACGTAACATATAAAGTATGCAACTAATGCGTGTAAACAAAAAATCAAACGCAACTATAAATACATACATGACGTCAAAAATCTGACAAAGATATAGTATCTTATTATAATAAAAATTCCTGAATTTTTCTGTCAGTATAAATGTATCGTAATTGTGGTGTCATTATAATTCAAGAATCCTAGTTCAATAATTTAAATGATGGTAGCTTGGTAATACTGGATAGGTTCAAAATTTATCGTCCAAGCAATCGGAAAAGATGTAGTGGTTACATAGCTACCTTTGCAAGTATGATCCGGTGTCGATTGAACTATATATGTTTTAGTTTTGTAAAACAATTTTATCGTCTATTTAACGTCAATATACCATTCAGAATACCTGAATAAATACAACTGCGTTTGTTACCAAGGTTTACACGAATCAGTACTGCACTTCATCTACACTATCACTTCTCGTTGTTAAGTTGACAGAATTCACCGCTTCTCCTCTCGGTTGTGTGATGATTTCAATTTATACGGTTGATGACTTAAAATAATTCCTCTAATGTTTGTTAGCTAATTGTTATAACGCTTGTTTTACTTCACCTAATGTTATAACGGTTGGGTTTCCACGTTTGCACGTATGGAACGTTAATTTACCTTAAACGATTATCTACACTAGGTCCCTTTCAGTGTCTATTCTATAGGACGTCAACGCAACTCAGATCAAGAACACGTAGTTAGCCTGACCACAACGTAAATATATTTCCACACCAAAAACCGACACAATCCAACAATCAATAATAAGTGAGTCACAATAATAAGGATAAAGAAATATATAACTTATCTGACACCTTTTAGACTATCTACATGTCTGACTAAGCAGACAACCAATCATGATCATTCTCACACACACATCACTAATAAAATGGCTAATAGATATAAAACATATTAGTGATGACACTCATCTGGATGTTTGTATCTTAAATAGATGTTTTATATATCAAGGATCTGATGTTGGGTTTCCTATTTTCTCAAGTTTGGAGGAAAGTCTTGTCTTAAGGCTTATTTAAACTGACGTTTTAAGATGTTTCTTAACTCATTGCAATGTATTGGACTTGATGACATTGCAAACCTTCGTTCTAAGAAGTCTGCCAATGTTGTGCATCATCCAATAACATGTTTAGTGAATTATAACAGTAAATTCATCTTTTCTCGAAATGATGAAGAAACCTTAGCTACTTCCACTTCAGCCTGGATTAAAGAAGTGTGCTGATTTATATTATTTTGCGTACGAGTGTACAACAACTACCTTGGATGTTGCTTTTGCCCTACGTGATAATGTAGTAATCAGTTTTAAAAGTGATGGTAGGTATGTTTGATCCACCTTTTCAGAATACACTTTTGCCTTTGTTTCAAGGCCATTGTTACTAAACAAGTTTAACTCTAAAAGCTGATCAACTAACTGGTTGTATTCTTAGTTTTTTGGAAGGGAATTGTATATTATATGTGTAGACAAGTATTTCGCTTGTAGGTGCCATTACTAAGTTTTGAGTCGATAATTTCAAATAAATTGAGCATTGGGTCAGTTGTTAATAAATAAATATCTTCTGACAAAATTGTCTATCAGAATACGGACCTAAATTACTTTATTCCTGTGCCAAACCAATGACACGTTAACCAGCACGATCAGCCTTGCATAACTCTGAATCCTTATATGTCCTTAATATAGTAGCTTCACGCCTAGCCTTGCCTGTCGAGTCCAGAACACGTATCAGCCTCCGCTTTATGAATAATATCTTTCAGACATCCGTGGTTTATATACATAAGACCAGAATGCATCAAACAATAAAATGAAAAATAACAATTATACAAGATCAAACCACAAGAGGCTGTGAGTGTGGGAGACTAACTAATAGATTGGCAACAAATTAAGCGGCAAATCGTATAATAGTAGCTAATAGGTCAAATGAAAGCTTATGATAAAAGAAACCTAAGTATACATAATCTAGTTACTCAAATGTTATACAATAAATTCTTATTGTAACAGTCTATAAATATTTCCCTGAGGTTACCAATTATTTAATCTTAGGATACAACAGTTGTGGATAGACGTATGAAGTTTGAAAATAAGTGTAAAATCTGTCCCCTTCATTCATATCTTCCCGTTTTATGCTTTCTGAAAGAAGTCACAATCACTTTCGATTTCATGCATTCAAATAAAATTACAGATGCTGCATAATACGTTGTCTAGAACATAGACTATACAATAAACAAGTTGTAAAGGCTAACCTAACCAAAAAATTGCACTTTTGAATCTGTTGTTTTTTTTACCGTGACAACTTTCCGAAACAAGTTTAGTTAGTATGATTTAACTTAAATTATTCTGAATTTCGTCTTAATATAATCAATAATATGAGCGTAATATAGATGAATACAAATTTTATCTTAGCTCTTAAGTCAGTAAATTTCACTTTTATTAGGGTTTTTTTCAAATAAAACGCTATTCACAATTGATTGATCACTGGGTGGTGATCAATCTCATGCTTGTCTAGTCCTTATTAGTGCAGATCGAATGCTATCGATCATGTTGCAATGTGGCCACCAGTCTAGGTGACTCGACACTGCGGGCACTATGTATTGAGATTAGATGGTGGTTGGAGGTAGTCAACAGGAAACCCTGGACCCGGGTTTCGTGCTACTTGGCACTGGTCAGCAAGGTGTACCTGTAATCTTGAGGGAACTGGTGCTCCCTGGCGGATTCGATCTCGTGTCACCCAGCTTCACAGTCAGAGACGTTACCACTGAGCTATCCGAGCCGTGACTAACCTCCTGTAGGACTGAGATGTAATCACAATTGATTGATCACTGGGTGGTGGTCAATCTCATGTTTGTCTAGTCCTTATTAGTGCAGATCGAATGCTATCGATCATGTTGCAATGTGGCCACCAGTCTATGTGACTCGACACTGCGGGCACTATGTATTGAGATTAGATGGTGGTTGGAGGTAGTCAACAGGAAACCCTGGACGGGTTTCGTGCTACTTGGCACTGGTCAGCAAGGTGTACCTGTATCTTGAGGGAACTGGTGCTCCCTGGCGGATTCGATCTCGTGTCACCCAGCTTCACAGTCAGAGACGTTACCACTGAGCTATCCGAGCCGTGACTAACCTCCTGTAGGACTGAGATGTAATCACAATTGATTGATCACTGGGTGGTGATCAATCTCATGCTTGTCTAGTCCTTATTAGTGCAGATCGAATGCTATCGATCATGTTGCAATGTGGCCACCAGTCTAGGTGACTCGACACTGCGGGCACTATGTATTGAGATTAGATGGTGGTTGGAGGTAGTCAACAGGAAACCCTGGACCGGGTTTCGTGCTACTTGGCACTGGTCAGCAAGGTGTACCTGTAATCTTGAGGGAACTGGTGCTCCTGGAGGATTCGATCTCGTGTCACCCAGCTTCACAGTCAGAGACGTTACCACTGAGCTATCCGAGCCGTGACTAACCTCCTGTAGGACTGAGATGTAATCACAATTGATTGATCACTGGGTGGTGATCAAACTCATGCTTGTCTAGTCCTTATTAGTGCAGATCGAATGCTATCGAACCCAGGTCCAGGGTTTCCTGTTGACTACCTCCAACCACCATCTAATCTCAATACATAGTGCCCGCAGTGTCGAGTCACCTAGACTGGTGGCCACATTGCAACATGATCGATAGCATTCGATCTGCACTAATAAGGACTAGACAAACATGAGATTGATCACCACCCAGTGATCAATCAATTGTGATTACATCTCAGTCCTACAGGAGGTTAGTCACGGCTCGGATAGCTCAGTGGTAACGTCTCTGACTGTGAAGCTGGGT